TGGCCTTTGGCAGCCAAAGGTCACGGAGTATCAATTAGCATGGTACCGGTGGTTAGACCTCCTCCTGAACCACCACCAGGGGATGTACGAGGTGCTAGAGTTCGTGAACGCTTTTCCTGTAGTTTTTATCTGTTTGTTATTTGTTTTCTTGTGTCCACTTTTGTTGTTGGTTTTGACAGTTTGTTTGAGTTTTTTGTCGCTCTTTATGTCATTGGGTATGGTTAATTCTATGGGAATAGGTTTGGCTGTGTCAAGCCCACTACATGGTTAGCGATTCGTGTTGCTCTCTCAGGGGTGACCGTCTCAAAGTCTCACCATAGGGTTATAGTCGTAGTTGTTGAAGTTTCAGTTGGTGTCAGTTTTATTTTCCTTTTTCTTGATGTAATGATCCTGAATCTTTTGATATGAATAGAGGCCCGTTTGATAATAAAAAAAAGTAATCATTATTTGTGTTTTTACTCGTTGATCTAGTATTTACTACGATAGTATTTAGTACTCGATGTGAATTTTCTCGCACTTAAAAATGATTGTAGTAAAGGGTTGAAGTACGAGCATCATCTCCACAGGGACAAACAAAAGGGAATTAAGAATTAACTAAATTCAACGATTAAAAATAAAAATAAAAATAAATGCGATGTGTAAAAATAAATCAGAGATTTGACTGATTGGAAAATTAAAATGCAACTAAACGATTAAAATAAAAGGGTTCTCTCTAATTAATGACAAAGAGAATAGGGATTGATTCCGGGGTACTTAGATTTCTGACAGATCAGGCTTAATCACATGAAAATTATTTAATTGAGCAACACCAATCAATACTAAGTTCTAACCGCTCTCGCGGCGTAGAGTACAATAATTTGGGAAACTAGACTGATCTCTCATGCGACAGGTATCTAAAATTATTGCCAAAACGAGCGAACGTACGACTCCTTGATCGCTACTAATCTCTTAGCGAGCGATTAAGTGTGTGTGAAGGTGTCTTAGAATAAACTAGATCTCAATTTTAGTGTGTGTGAAGGTGTGAAGGTGTCTACGAACAAATTCTAATTCTAGCCGTGGTTCTAGGTTACAAAAGATATCAATTAAATTATTCATACACAAATTAAACGACATTCATGTAATATAAACCATCAAGAACCTAGCCATACATCATGAATAACCTCTTCATTGATATCAATCCCAAATCTCAAATTAAAATTACTCACAATTCATAATTGAAGAATCAATAGAATTGGGATGAAAAGAATTAATTGTCATTAATTAAAAAGATAATACTTACAAAGAATCCCCAAATCTTGACAATCCTAGGCTTGCAAAGCTCTAAAAAATCGACATAGGGTTTCTCTCTCTAAGCTCATCTGTCTAAAATGGACGAATTGGGGCTTATTTATAGCAAAAACGCAAAAATGGGCTGAATCGCACGACCGCACGGTCGCCCTCACGCCATGCGGCGTACCGTGCGGCCGAGCAAAAATAATTTCTGCGCTCTGCGTTTCGCTCACCTGTACTACGTGCGGGTCCCGCACGATACAATAATGCAGGTACTCCTGGGGGCTATTTCTGGACCGCGGGGCGTGTGATTTCAGCCGCGCGTGTGCGGTTTAGAATTTTTGACTTCTAGCTCTCAGAATCACCCACGGGGATTGTGGTACCGACTCGCGGGGCACGCGGATTGCTCTAGAACCGTTTTCTTGCTATTTTCTTCCTCGTTCGCTCCCGATCGATCCTATTTGCAATCTTTAGTCTTCCAACCCTCAAGTCATGCCTCTAAATCATCTCGCGGACTTCCGATGCCTCTCTCTATCTCTTGAACGCATCCCAAATCTTCTCAACTTGAGCTCAAACGCCGATGCCGGGTCCGGATTTTTCTTTTCTTCAACAAATGCAAACCAAACCCGATAACTCATGACTTGAACTAAATAAACACTGTGTGACGCAAATAATAAATTAGAAAAAGTGAAAAAACTCAATCTCAACACGCATGAAATGCGTGTTGAAATACAACTTATATTAGTAGTCATATGTAACATTGATTCCGACAAACAAGAAGTTTAATTTTTTGAAACTCTAATTTATCCAAAAGATAGCCACTTTCAAGTTTCAACGTATACATATTAATTTTTTGTATATATTAACGGCCGAAGTAAATTTAAACTTCTCAATCGATGGTTTCAACCAAAATCATTTTCATTGGATTGTCTTTTAATACACATCATACTAAATTAAATCAGGTTTAATTAGATCAGACTAAATCAAATTCGAATATACTAGATCAGATTTCGAATAAAATACATGTATAATAATGACTTTAAAACAGTCACTAGTTAAACTTTTTGGTAGGCATAGTTGAGGACCAAAATGCTAAAACGACAACGAGTAAAGACCAAAAGTTCAATTACCGGGTGGCACAGAAGATGACCACTAGTATTTAGGGTCTGTTTGCAACAGCTTCTGCTTTTAAAAAAGTGCTTTTTTAAATGAAATGGGGAGAAGTGATTAAATAAAAGTTGATAGTGTTTGAGAAAAAAGTGATTTTGAAAAGTAAAAGTGAGTAGTGTTTGGTAAAATAAGTGCTTTTGTATAATAGAAAAAGTAAAAGCACTTTTGACGTGGAAGCCGAGAAAAATAAAAGTTGTAGTGTTTGGGAAAATAAGTGCTTTTTAAAAGCCAGAAGCTGAGAAGTGCTTTTTTAAAAACAGTTGCAAACCAACCCTTAGTTGTGTGTGGGAGTAGGGCCGGCCCTGAGAAAATATGGGCCCTGTGCAAAAATAAAATGTAGGCCTTTTCCTAAAATAGGTAGAAATATAAGTGAAGATTATATTTGTAAAAATTTTGCTACAATAATAATAATAATTCATACATATCAAAATATCAAAATACAAGTTAGTCACTAACATAATAGTTAAAATAAAACTATTGCCTAACAAAATACACTTCATTTATTTGTTAAATTGAATTATAAATTAATAGTTAAAATAAAACTATTCCCTAACATAAATATAATTGATAGACGTAATGAACATTTGATACATATTTAGTAGTTTGTTAATTTAATAATGACATGCAATAAAAAATAATACTAGTAGTAGTTATTATTATATAACAAATTGATATCAATAATTGTAGTGGATGACAATATGGCATGGGCTTAGAATCTAATGAGTTTTTAATTATACTTCATTTGATGCCATCAACCAAATCGAGCCGGTTCAGCACTTCAGCGTCCTCATTGGTATGAAACACACCAGGATTCGAATCCCCTAGTGTTAAAATTTTTAATTGAAGCATGGGATCTAAAAATTGGGCTCTATTAGTAATAGGGAGACTATTGAAAATTGGGCCCTCGAAATTTACGGGCCCTGTGCGGCCACACCGCTGGCACTTGCTCTGGGTCGGCCCTGTGTGGGAGAGAAAGCCTGCGTGCGAAAATAAGAGTAAATTCCTCAAATAGGCCTAAAATATAGGCTAATAGGACTTAATTTTTTTAAATTTCATAAATGGAAGTAATTATGTATGTTTGGACTAAAATACCCCAAAAGACTTTTGGAGTGCCCAGCTTGTTACCACCACTTGCATAACTCGATAATTCCATCGCCGCCACGACTAATTGCTATGGCAACCAACGGATTGACTGCGATTATGCAAGAGAATTATGGGACAATTAATCATATTCATTATACTTATTACATTAGTAGTAAAAAGATAATGTTTAATCCTATTTAGAGTAAAAAACATTGACTCCTAATTGTGCAATTATGTTTAGATTTAGGCCTATTTATGATAATATCTCAATTAATACCCCGTACGTTGCAATTCTTAAAGCTAAGATAACAAGGAAAAAATAGTAATTTTGAAAATTTAAGATTAAAGAGTTAATATTTTAACATAAAATAAATCTTTATTTTTAACTCTTTAAAGTTTTTATTTTTTCAATTTCAAAATTCAAATCTATAATTTATTTTAGTTTAATATGTTTAAAGTCAATAAAAGTAATTTTACTCTTTTATAGGAACATTAGGGGTATTTTTGAATCTTTTAAAAGTTCAGAGATAAATCTGCACTTCAGGGGCACATTAGGGGTATTTTTTCTCTTTGGGATTTACTATTTGTGAAGGAAAGAAAGGAGATAGTTGGTTGTGGTTTATGGCGTGTGTACGTCGTCATTTTATCACACGTAGAGAATTGTGTGTTATTTCAAATCGACATGTAGACATTTTAGGCTAAAGGGTCAAATAGGTCCATGAACTAACTTAAAGTGTCCAATTAGCCCCATATATAGGAGGTTCTGCCCAGCCGTCGCCAATTGGGGCGGTTCCCGGTGGAATTTTTTGATGAAATTATTTGAGCATATTCTTCATTAAGTCTAGTTTACCCATATCAAATTTCAGCTAAAAATTCAACCGAAAATGCTGTCAAATGATTTTTTGAATATAACTGCGCAGTAAAACAACGCAGTACATTTCAGAAAATCATTTGACTGCCTTCCCGATTTAATTTTTAGCTGAAATTTGATATGGGTAAACTATACTTAATGAAGAAGATGCTCAAAAAACTTCATCAAAAAGTTCAACCGGGAACCTCCCCAATTGGCGATGGCCGTGTTGAACCTCCTATATAAGGGGCTAATTGAACACTTTAAGTTAGTTTAAGGGCTTATTTGACCCTTTAGCCGACATTTTAAAGACACTTAATGAGGTTGATAGTGGATGTGATGAGCCACATGCATGACATAGACTTTGCATTTGGCATGTCGCTTCTAATCTGCATGCCAAATTCAAAGGCATTTACCTAAAGAATCTCTTCATTTGGACAGCAAGTCAACATCAAAAGAAACAATTTGATGATGGATTTAACAGGATAGGCGTAATGCTGACACAAGCACACAAATATCTAGGGAACATTTCTCTTGAAAAGTGGTCTTTACACCACAATGACACTAATGTATTGCACCACAACAACGAACCTGATATAAGTTTTCAACGTCATGAAAATGCACTGTACTTGCCTATAACTGCATATTAACTTATTCTTCATTTTATAAGTGGTTGAGTGTTTTTTGAATTCTGTGATGTGATACATTACTGAATGCTGAAATAGTGAAATTTACATGGATCTAATTTTAGATTATGAGTTCTAAAAAGATATGCACTATGCATGTCTTCAAGAAAAGCACGGAAGTGAATCCCAAATTTCATGATGCACTACTTTTGCTGAGCATGGCTTCAACCCTAAAAGTGAATAGAAACTTGTGTTAAAGAAAGTGAAGTAGCGAGAGTTTCTTCCCAACTTTTTTTCATAAAGTACATCAATATTTCCCTCTTTAGTTCTTCTCAACCAAGCTCTTTGTGGGACAATCACCATCACATATGCTTGAGATGATGAAGAACTTGCTCTGTCAAGATTGTAAAATTAAGCCACTGGAGAGGGTTACTTTATTGAGATAATTGAACATAATAGGAGGGGTAGTTTATACCAAAAGCTAGCATTTCCTCCTATGGTTTGGTTATTTTAGATTGAAAACTTAGTGATATATAGTCTCGGTCATGTGAATACTCAACATTAGAGTGAAACTTAAACAATTACTTCAATGTTGTCTGATTCACACACTACTAGTATATCATTTGATTATTGTTTTGAATCATGAAGTCATTAAAAGTCTCCATGTGATTGCAAGATATAAAATATTAGTTCATACCCGCATAAGTGAATTCCCCTTTGATCCTTTAATTTAGTTTTTGCATACTTTCCAAATGCATTTTTACTCAACTTCATCACATAATTGGGATTTTGCATTTATCCCTTCCACTAGCGATTACTCGCGCAAGGCGCGAGAGTGTTTGCCCAATATTAAAATAATATTATCTTTTGTTAAAAAAGTGTCATATGCAAAATTGTTAGGAGTTTCATAAATAGATAATGGAATTTTACATATCGAGCCTATTTGGTGACTATGTTTTTCGCCTTATCGGGCTTATGAACCAACTTTTTTACCAAGCATATAATTTTTTATTTCACGCGCTGAATTATGTAATAATAACAAAAGTAAGGTTGTAGTTACTTTTCTGGTTGTATTGACTGAAGTTACAGTAGATGACTATTTTAGTTATTATTTCATATAATTTTTCTTTATTTTATTAATAAAATATATTTTAAATATAATTTATTCATAAATTAGCAGAATCAGCCAATATAGCCACTTCAGCCAGAACTTCATATATTTCACCAGAATCAGCTACTTCATCCAATTTTAGTGTTACCAAACAGGCTCATCTTATACTACGTATATTATAAAAATTGCCAGAATAATTATATTCCATGTCAACTAATTATTGTGCGGAAAATATGTGATTATGTGGTTCATCCTTAATCAAATTTAAGGAATACATTAAAAATATTGATGTAAATATCATCCAAATGCATATAGTTGTGCACAAACCATTTTTGTGAGCAATGAGTATTTCACATTCCTAACAAGATTGTAATCATATGTGTTTGAAGCAATAAAAGATTACATTTAAGCCACATATTTAGCTATGTAGCATCGGCCTTAGATAGGAAATTTGTGTATGGCTCACATGTAAAACATTTCTTATATTGAACATATAATCCGTAATTGTAACAATATATTTTCTCCAAAAAATATAATTTATATATTTAATAATGCATACAATTAAATGAAATAATTGAGTATGTTCGGAAAAAACAATAACTGTGAAATCGTAAGAGATTATAAACTATAATCTTTTATACTCCGTAGATTATATTAAACATGAGAGATAACCACATAAATATAATCAAAAATATTATGTCTCTCCTTATTTGAATGATTTTATACAATTTTTGTAAGTTTTTCTCCACAATGTCAAGAAGACTGTCTAGATGTTGACATTGTGCTTGACATTGCAAAGAAAAACTTATCAAAATTGTATAACATCATTCAAATAAGGAGAAAGATGATTTATTTGCTAATTTTTATGTGGCTCTCTCTCATGTCACATGTGCACCGTGCATAATGTAGCATTGGGGATGCTCTAAGGTGAGTGAGAAATTCATCGTTACTGATAGAAGAAATAAAATAATATAAGAATTTTTGCCATTTTTGGTCCCCAACTATTATGTCGATGTCACTTTTGGTACTCGACTTCTAGTTTTTCCATTATTAGTCCTCGACTATTGTGCTAGAGACACTTTTAGTTCCCGACTTTAAGGTTTCCCACATTTAGTCCCTGAGTATTGTCAAATTGACACTTCTAATCCTCCCATTGTGATTTTGCCACAATAAGTGGGGGGCTAAAAATGCCCCTTTTATAATAGTTGAAGGATCAAAAGTGTCACTTTTATAAAAGTTGAAAGACTAAATATGAAAATTTTCAAAAACGGGTACCAAAAGTGTCTCTAGCACAATAGTCAAGGATTAAAAATGGAAAAATCATAGTCGAGTACTAAAAGTGTCAATGACATAATAATCGGAGGACTAAGAGTAGAAAAAAATCAATAATACAATAACAAGTTCACATCCAAAAAAGGAAAAGAATAATAGAAGAAATAAAATAAAATAAAAATAAAAGATTAGATGGCATGACCATCCCTATAGGATTTGTATACGTCATTCCGTTGCAAAACCACTCCATGTAAAGCATTAAGATATACTCGTACATTGTTACTTGTTACCCCTAAATAGTTTTGTATAAACAGCCAAAACTACTCCTTATAACGGAAGTTTTTTTTTAGGAACTCCGTATAACGGAAGTTAAATAACTCACGGACAGTAAGGGTAAAGCAGACAATATAAAAAAAAGGTTCCATCTTCTAATAAGAATGTACAACTTCTTATGCCTTAAGTGTGTTGACACAATTCAGGGGTACCAACCATCATTCATAATTACTAGTAAATCACCCGTGCGATGCACGGTTTGAGAAAGTTTTTTTAAATTTTATGTGTGCTTTGTATTTAAAATCACACTATCAATTGATGATAATATTTATCTTCATGTAAGGGGGTGTTTGGATCTGATTCTCAAAACTGATTTTGCTCCTTCAAGGAGTAGAAGCAGAAGCTGGAGTGTTTGAGTGAAATTCCAAAAGCACTTCTGGTGCTCTAATTTACTCCCAGAATCAGTTTTTTTAGAAGCTGGGGGATACCAGCTTCTGAAAACCGATTCTGCTTCTGCTTCTGCTTTAAAAAAGAAGCAGAAGCAGAATCAGTTCCAAACACCCCCTAATACTGATATACATGAAAGCATTAAACGAAACACACTTATAATATTATGGTCAAAATGAGATTACTAATTATTACTAATGTTGTTAGATGTTAGATATTGGATAATTACCTTTGTACTGACTTTTCAGTTTTAGTGTTTGACTTAGGAGAAAGTGAGGAACCACCGCCGTAATTAAAGTTTAACCCTGCATTGATTCAATTTTAATTGTCAACAATTATGGGCAAAATTAAGAAATAATCAATTCTAGTAATTGTACTCAATAGCAGAAATCAATTCCAATTTAGATGACTCTACTTTATTAGTACTAAAGTAGAAGGTATTAAATTGATCCACACCAATTGCGTATAGAAATACAAACTAACACATAAAATTTTGTGTCATATTCCTCTCATTAGGATTAACATTTTAAGTTAGAGCCTCAAATCTAAATAAAGGGGGTCTTATGTAATACTCCATTTATTCTAAAGGGAATTGTAAAATCAACTTTTCTTGATCAATATAGTTTCATTTTATTTGATTGATATATCGAAATTCTGTTACATTCTAATTTGAATTTTGCGATCTTATAAAACTTTCAATGAGTTTATGAATATGTAAATTTAAATTATTAAAACTTAATTTTATCACTAGTTCACCTCAAAATCTATAAAATGTAATACTCATAATATAATACAATAATATTATTACAGTAATTACATGGGCCGCACTTATATACACAAAAAGTTTTATGGTATTGTTTCTACGCATGTATACTTTACAATTTAACATAGTGCAGCTTGACTATTCAGAATTCACGATGCGTGCGTATTGGGGTACATGTTTTTCCCATTTCCAAATATATCCTAAACAAAATAATTAACCTCTTCATCTCCATCACTTTTCAAAGCTAAGGCTATAATTAATTAATCTCAGTTTCCATCATGGGTCGATCGATCAATCTCTTTGGAGTTGCGTTTTGCTTTCAGAGTTCCATTATATGGCTTCACCGGGCCAGATGATTACCTTGTATGAATTCACACCACAGTACATGTTTTGGGCAAATATAAATTAGCATCTTAATTAGTGGAATCATAGCCAATTCAATTGATTATATATCATCCTTGTTAATTATATTTTCAAATGATTTTGTCAACACAATGATAAGAAGTGCTTAACCTGATTCTCACACTTTGGAGAGCCAGCAGGTTCCACCTTGATCAGACACAAATTGAATGTGAATCCCACTGAAAAGTATATTAATATTGTCTCAAAGTAACCATTTTAACCAAACTTTTCGGCATGTATAAGTTAATACTTTCAATATTCCTTTTAAATTTCACATGAAATGACACATTGCATAACCATTTTGAATAAATGTGGATGAGTGGATCCCATTCAGAAATATATTATATTGTCTCAAAAGAATCATTTTTGGTCTCATTTTAACCAAACTTTTCAACAGGTATCAATACTTATAGTATTCCTTTTAAATTGAATAGATTGATTAAGCGCTTTAAATTTTGAACATTATATATAGATAATAAAAATATTCTACTAAATGGTCATTTTATCACCTAATATAATATAATGATACGCCAATTCTGGACTACCAAATAATTCATCGGGAATGACATTTGCAGCACATTTTTCTATTCAGGGGTGACATTTACAATCTCATAAACACAGATCTGACATTTTAATATGGTGACTAATAAAGGGACCAAAAGTGCGATTTTTCCTTATTTTTAATTTGCACGCAAAGGCGTTGCAGTGCTTTATAAAAAGGATGCAAAGTATTTTACTATTCTCCCCCATGTAAAATACTTTAGATTGTATAGTACACAATGCTTTATAAAAAGGATGCAAAGTATTTTACTATTCTCCCCCATCAAATAACTCAGCCTTTTACATCCCTGCACTTTACACGCGATTATGTGAAGTAATTATTTTACCGCATACCAAACGTCCTCTAAGAATCAGTCACCTCATACAAAGTAATCTGATTCGCTATATACAAAACGGATAAATTAATGTCTAAAATAATCGGGACTCAAACACTGCCTATCAAAAGTACTCCAGAAATTTAATTATCCAAATCAAACCGGCCTACTCGAAGTAAAATAAAAATAAGTACTACTCCCTTCGTCTCTAATAACTTTGCCAAGTTTGACTGGCACGGAGATTAATAAAGTAAAAACTGTATGATTGAGGTTTGTGCAGAGGAGAGAGAATTAACTGGAACCACAAATTCTTTACTTAAAAGGGAAAGTGACAAAGTTAATAGGACATCCAAAAAAGGAAAATTGGCAAATTATAAGGGACGGAGGGAGTATTAAAGAAAAAATAAATTGAAATAAAGTTTTTCCACAAACTCTTCTTGACATAGAAATGGTACGGTTATAGAGGAGGGCGAGCTCTACAATTATCTACGCGACTACGCAGTCCGATCCAAAAGAATGCAACCAGAAATCCCTGACCAGACGAAGCTGGTCGAGGCACTAAAACATTACTCCGTATTTCTCCACATCGAGGGAGACAAAACAACTCAGAGCGTTAGTGCCCGGGAAAGAACTGCCAAAGCATAAAACAAACACAACCAGCAAAGAACAGTTCAGACTGGTTATACCCCTACCAAAAATTACCTATAACAAGGCATGGAGGCATCGCCCTTGCTTTTTTTTTGTTGTTGCTTTTTACGCTTAACATGGATCCGGAGATTGGAAGAGAGATGTACTTCTGGAGGTAGGCAGACCACAGCGGGTCTAGAACTCTAGATATTAGACCAAATACGGAGTATTATATTGCCCTGTACCGTGTTCACCCTTATAATTTTTGAATAATTATCCATCAAAATGTACTACCTCCGTTCTTAAATAAATGCAATACTTTGACTTTTACACTATTCACATGTTCTACTTTGAATACGTTTTATTATTAATGTAATAATGTTATTTTATGAAAAAATCTTGTTAAACTTGTGTCATTGTAAATTTTCATAATCTAATTTTTTTAATTTTTTTACTAATACAAAATCATTTATAATGTTATTAATGGTCAAAATTGTGTCTCGGCAAGTGTGAAATATTGACCGTTGCATTTATTTGAAATTAGACTCAAAATATCAAACTGAAAATTTAGTCGTTGGACGGATATAAATCATACCCTAATACATGGCACAAATACCTCTAAGCAAGTTTCAACCACTCAATCATTTCATAATACTACGTAGTTTTCTCAAACAGTTCATCACAAAAAAATCTTCTAAAATCACTAGGAATGAAGCTTCGAAGAACACAAAAGTCAAACACTAGGGACATGTTTACTTCACCGGTTATTAAACGGTGCTTATTAAGACCCGTGTTAATAAGCGGCGCATAAAATAAACAATGTTGTAAGACCGTGTTTACTTCAAACGGTTTAAAACACCGCTTAACATTAAAATGTCCAAACTAACCCTATACATATATATACACACAAACATTCATGAACACAAGTATATAATATAATATGTGTACCCATACCCCTAACCCCTTACCCACCCTACCTTACCCCGACCCCACCCACCGCCTACCCCTACCCCTACCCCTACCCTACCTACCTGACCCCACCCTACCTACCCGACCCTACCCCTACCCGACCCCACCCTAACCTGTCCCCACCCTACCACAACCCTACCCCCGACCCCATAGGCCCCTACCCCCATAGGCCCTTACCACATCGACCCCACTCCGACCCCACCTTACCCCAACCCCGCCCCTACCCCTACCCTACCCAACCCGGGTAGTGGTAGGGTGGGTTCGGGTAGGTAGGGTGGGGGTTGAGGCGGGGTAGGGTAGGGGTAGGGTCGGATAGGGTAGGGTGGGGTCGGGTATGTTGGTAAGGGGTGGGGTAGGTAGGGTAAGGGTAGGTGTGTGATCGGGTAAGTAGGGTAGGGGTGGGATTGAGTAGGTAGGGTGGGGTCGGGTAGGGGTAGGACGGGGTAGGGTTGGGTTGGGTCAGGGTAGGGGTAAGGTGGGGTCGGGTAGGGGTAGGGTAGGTGGGGTAAGGGTAGGGGTGGGGTCGGGGTAAGGGTAGTGTAGGTGGGGTAAGGGTAGGGTGGGGGTCAGTTAGGTAGGGTAGGGGGGTGTCTGGTAATGGGGTAGGGGCCGTAGGGTAGGGGTAAGGTGGGGGGTACGTGTAGGGTGGGGTTGGACAGGTAAGGTAGGGGTAGGGTGGGGTCGGGGTAGTGGTAGGGGGTCGGGTAGGTAGGGGAAGGGTCGGGGTAGGTAAGGGTATGGTGGGGGTCGGTTAGGTAGGGTCGGGGTGGGGTAGGGTGGTGGGGGTAGGGGTGGGGTCGGGGTAGGGTCAGGGTAGGTGGGGTAATGGTAGGGTGGGGTCGGGGTAGGGTGGGGTTGGGGTCGAGGTGGGGCAGGGATAACAATAGGTTAAGGGCAAGGGGTAAATTCGGAAACTGAAAAAGCTTAAAGTGCCGCTTAATTAATACATGGGGGGATGGTATGCTTAATAAGCGGCACTTTAAGCACCTCTTTCGATTAGTAAGCGGCTTTTTAAGCAGTGTGCGTGTTTACTTCACCTGTCTTACTAACCTAACTGTGACTTTAGCAGTGAAGTAAACACCTCCTAGGTGTATTCCGAAAATGATGAGTTCAAAAGCCAACTATTGAAAGACACCAACCACATGTCAACTCCGTAATTAAAAAGTGAACATACAGCAGAATAGCAGATTAGAATCAACAGAAAAGCTCAGGTCCCTCCAGAGAGACGGGAGGGACCGTCCGAACTTTACTGTTTGGGGAGGTTCCCGGTGGAATTTTTTGATGAAATTTTTTGAGCATGTTCCTCATCAAATCTAGTTTGTCCATACCAAATTTCAGCTCAAAATTCGACCGGGAAGGCAGTCAAATAAATTCTTGAAGCTTATTGCACATTCTGCGCATATATAAAGTGCAGTAAGTTTCAAGAATTTATTTGACTGCCTTCCCGGTCGAATTTTGAGCTGAAATTTGGTATGGACAAACTAAATTTGATGAGGAACATGCTCAAAAAATTTCATCAAAAAATTCCACCGGGAACCGCCCCAAACAGTAAAGTTCGGACAGTCCCTCCCGTCCCTCCGGAGGGACCTGAGCAGTCCTCTTAGAATCAATACATTATACGGAGTACTGGAGTAGTATATATGTTTTAATTTTTATACACAAATAAATTTATTTATTATAGGCATATACTCGTATGATATATAGTTTAATTGTCAGTGTATTTTTGGTTAGTACAATTGTAATGCTAGATTTTTATTTTTAGATATATGAATTCGTCTATTGTAAAACTGATTTTGTATGAAAGTGCGGGTCTATGAAATTTCTAATTTTAACTTGTTTATACTAAGAAATTTGTTCATTTTATATTTCTTCTTTTAAATGATCGTATGCGCTAAGTTGTAAAATGTTATCGCATTCTTTGGGATAGTCTAATTACAATTTTTCTTGTATTTTTGTCTCAATATTTAGTAGTTTGTGAGATACCTCACTTTGAAATTTAGAATAGGGACATCCAAATTCATCAGACAGTCATAATCCCAAAATATATAGGGAGCATGTCAACGTGTTCACTACCGACACTACGTATGGAGCACATTTCTGTGCTAAATGGTCTGAATTCTCTCAAATTTCAAGATATGTGAATCCTGATCATTTATCATACCAACGTCGCGTGCTCCGTAGCGAGCACGTTAGCGTGCTCCATATATTTACTCATTGTAACTCCCACTCGTAATCATGTGTTTATGCAAATAAGATAATTATAGAGTAGTTCCATTTATTTAAAAGTATATTTAATTTTTAAATATAACCATATGTGACTCTCATAGTTTATGAGATTAATAACCTTAGCAGCTAAACTTGATGCAGTTACGAGGTTTTCTTGTTTGTCTTTTTTGGTGGGGGCACAACTGTTGGACATTTGAAAAGATGTAGTACTAAAAGGTCTTCTTTAAAAGTAATAAGCCAAACACACCCCTCACCGCTAAGGAAGTGAAGAGGAAACCTCTATCACCTAAATGAATAAATTCACGATTGATGATTGCTATAAAAGGTGTATCAGGACATGAGAACACATGAATAGGATGCAACTATGCAAGTGACAATACATCTACATAGAACTCTTATTAAATGAACTACAAATATTTTCAATTTATATGAATGATATACTTATATGCATGCGATGTGTTTTGCTTGGTGCTTGTTTGGCTGCTATTGGTAATAAATTTAATTGGGAGCTGAGAGTAGGTCCATCATCAAATATATGGACCACAATTGGTTATAAATCTAATCATGCATTTCCCTTCCATTATTATTGTCACTTTAAGTAATTAAGTAATGTATTAATATAATGGTTAATTATCATGTTTACAACTAATTAAATGAGAAGATTACGTGGGGAGAGTTCGAATACAAAGTGGGGTTTCAGCGCATAGTGCGAACGATTGCACTTTTCGCTCATTGTGATGCACCATTTCATGATTTAGATGCACTTTTTCGCAATGACAACAAAATTTTGATTTATTTATGAAATCGCCACTGCATTTGTGAACAAATTTAGTGCATTGTTGACCGACTTATTTTGAACCATTAAATCTAGATATGAATGCACAAGATTTATTCTCACTTTGCATGAGAAGATATTTTTGTATTTGCATGTCATACTAATTAATTGAATTGAATTGACCAATCCAAAAACGTCTTAAAATTTAATAAGACCGGCGGCCTGGCTTGGTGCAAGTTAAAAAAAGGGTTTTATATAATAAAGTATGGACGACTTCAACAAAGAGAAATATTTGAAAATACACTTTGATCAATTTTTATAAAACTAAGCACCAGATTAATTAAATTTAGGGAAAGTTTCCGAAATAGGACTAAAACAGTTTGAAAATTCCAAAATAGGACTGTCATGTTTTTTATTCCCAAAATAGGAGTAATTACTGCCAAGTTTGGAAAATACTGTCATTTTTGAAGTCTGGTACTCCCAAAACATGACAATCCTATTTTGGAATTTTCAAAGCTTTTTAGTCCTATTTCGGGTAATATTCTCCCAAAAAATTCATCCACCAATTTTTGATAGCCTAGTTTCTTCTGAATATAATTCTCAATAACTATCAAAGTTGTTTCTTAATGATTTTCTTGTAAAATGGAAGAACCGTGGCTTGTCCTAGGCCTAGGGGTTGATGAGAACCAGAAAGGACCGGGAATTAGGCCCATAAGCCCATTATTCTAATTAGATTTTCTTAGGCAGTTAGGCATATACTCCGTATAAAAGTTGCTCTGATCTTTATATTGACTTAGGGTACACATTTTTCTTTTATTTTTTTCTTAAGTTTGTCATCTTTTTTAATCATTTTTCGGGTGTAACGTAACATTAATGTTTTTGTGAAATGCTATTTGTGTTAAATTGTGTATAGTATCCACTCTAATGCTTGTGTGTATTTTAATATTGTAAATGGTTGAGCTTGAAAATGGAGAAAGGGGAAAAAATCAAATAAAAACGCCATAGGTCAAAATCACTCAATGAAAAAAAATATGTTGTGTGAAGAGATTTAAATTAATTGCAAGCAACTATGTGCATGAGAAATGGATATCCAGCGTTGAGCATAGCATGTGAAAATATATATGGACTATTAACCTATCTTCATAGCGATCTCACTCCACAATGTTTAATAAAAAAACATTTGGTCATTGATAATGGAGATTTTTTCAAAAATACCATTAAAATGAAACTTATTTACAAAATC